ACAGGTATCCCAGTAAAAAGACAAAAAAACAAAGGCATTTTATGACTGGGCTACCACAGGTATCCCAGTAAAAAAAACTAGACCCAGTGTGCAGGGTAACTGGGATACCTGGATGGTACTGGATCCGTGGAATCAAGTGTAGTGATACTACGCGTGTCGGACTAGTATACTGAAATAGTGAGCTCAAGTCTGGCCAAGGGCATACACCTGTCTCAAAACATAGGCATGCTATGCATGCAAGAGTTATTTTTTTCTAGGGTGGGTGGATTACTTGAAACATTGTAAGTGGTCTACATTCTTATAAAAGGAAAGAAGATTATTAACGCGGGAAAGAATGAAAATGTCGAATTACCTCACACACAGGTATTTTGTGGTAGATTATGTGTGTTGTGCGAATAAATGTAACCAAAAATAAACTATATTAGTGCCAAAGATTATTTGCACTATTGTGGAAAATTCCTGGCTCATTTCTTGATGAAAATCGATCGTAATTTAATTTCAAGCCTTCAACATAGTTGGTTGGTGTGATGTCTGTACAGATTTTACCAATGTAATAAAAGTAGATGACGTGAATAATAGTGATGGTAAAGCAAGCTTAAAACGGCAACAATCGCCAGAAACTACAACGGATACACAGGGTATGAGTAAGTTTTATTGATTTTACGAGAAAAATCTTCACATTTCGAAATATTTATCGTTGTAAGTCGACCATATTTCGTTCACTATACTATTCCTTATAACGTGTTCAAATTTTCAACGGTTCCTTGCATAACTTACTCTGAGTCACACAACGCGTGACGCGTTCGTGAATTAATCGTTGGCTCTTTCTCGAGACGTGACCTTGGGTCGCCTGTGACAAGACAATTGCGTAAACAATACTTAACATAATAACATTATACACAAATAACACGGGATTTTGGATTATGTATTTATTAAAAAAAGAATATCCATACAACTACAATGAAAACAAACATAAGATTCACCTTTCTGATCGTGAAATTAATACCATTCGCATTGTTATCGTAGCTACGTTCCCTGGTATCAATTGAATCCAACATGGCGTCTTTCTATACAAGCAGTTTGCAACCATTTGAATTTTGTTCTTCAGTCTCACGGTAGTAGTGTTGTTCAATAGATTGCATAGAGTAAATGCAGTTTTGTTTCAGATTTCAAATTTTGCTTTTTACAACGAGTTAACGTTTTCAACTAAGACATTGGCATACTTAGCATACAAGACATACAAGACATTCAATGCTTTCATAGCTTTCAAGCGTTCGCGATTCTGTCCGTTCCAAAATTACCGTTCAATAACATCTTTTTGTGTGGATTGGCCGCGAACAATACGACTTGTGTATGCGTCTATAAGTGTTTTGAGCGTTTGCGCCATAATGCACCAGATGATCGTAATTCAATTACGTTGAAATACAAAACGACTGACAAAATAGTTTTGTGGGCAAAAATCTCGTGTTCGTCATGTGACCCGGCCCTGTCCGTGCATGACAACGTCAATCATCATCAAGATAGCACGCGTGATCAGCATGTGAACACCTCATTGGATCACAGTTAGTTGTCATGGTGTTGAGGGCCCAATGACCTCTGGGTACTATTGCGCAATTTTTCCATTTTGTGGCGGAAGAAAAAAAAAAAAAAAAAAAAAAAAAAAGACGACAAAAAAACAAAGGCATTTTATGACTGGGCTACCACAGGTATCCCAGTAAAAATTCGCCGGTTCCTCATGTAAGCCAATAACAATATGAGGCACACATGTGAAAATCAGTGTGTGTACACCCCTGAACGTTGAAAATATATCAAGTCGAAGGAACAGTTGGTCTTGGTCCGCATTTTTGTCAACAAAATGAACACATATCGGTTAAGAAGATGAAACGTATGGATCACGTGCAAAACTGTCAATTGTTTCTCGAATAATGCGCGTGTTAAGAGTGAGTGTTAGCAAAACTCGTGCAGAATCAAAATTTAGCGGCTAAAATGTGAAAATCGAAATTCGCTCAACTAGTAGTAGTCCATGTTGAATTATTTATCGCTCTATGGTTTATTTCTCAAAGAGATTTTTGTTTTGGCGGAAAATGGCGATATTAGATTTCAGGGCCAGACGTGAGCAAATTAGGCTTGAAAATTGGCAATTTTCAAGAAAACCGTATGCCTTAAGAAGAAAGCCGGAAGATATCCACATGCAATCAGCTTATTCTACAGCTTTTCCAGGTTTTATACAGTAATTTCTGTGACAATTGAAAAAAATCTGACGTTGTGCGAGATCTGAAAGAAACTCCCATGTTTCTCTACGGAAATCACCACCTGACTTGAAAAAAACAATTTACCCTACTAGCTGTACCATAAATTAAACGAAACTTGGAGATCAGACCCCTTTAGAGATGGGCTTTTAACTGATATGATTTTTGTTCTGGGGAAGCTAGGCTGTAGTCAATGAGGGAGCGCTTAAACTTGTACATGTTCGCGAAATCAAACAAGTGATTGCGTGACCGACCGTGACAGACAGATCTATTATTTCCGCCCAAGTTCAATGTAAAAGCTCGACGAAAATATAATGGTAATTCTTGTTGTTATTGTCGAGTCGTGCTATTTACATGTACTAATTTCTTGTTGTGGTTTTCATCACTATTCTTGTCAAAGTTTCCTTTAACTTGTACATGTTTATGTGCTCGTGTTATTTGCCGGCTGGGAAGTCCGTATAGTGAAAACCTATAAACTAGTCAACCTCAGACTTGAAAATGCTGCCCGAGACCGCAGGACTCGGGCAGCATTTTCAAGCCCGAGGTTGACTAGTTTATTTTTTTTTCCTGCGGTAAATTGGCTTACAAGTGGGTTTGTTTACACCACTGTTTCTCTGAATCGGCTTACGTGCCTTCTACAAACGATTCGTAAAAAATCTTCGCAACGACTAACTTAGATACTAGACACAAACGTGTATGTTAAAGAACAGATACTTTTCAGTCTTACAACAAACTAAGAGTGAATTTCTCCAAGGATCAAACGAAATCGAAAATTAAGGGCAAAAATGCGAAAACTCGAAATTGTTCAAACTCCGGCTATTAGTTGTCCATTTAGAATTATTCATCACTATATGAGGTTCATTTGTCAAATAATTCGATGTTTCACCCAAAAATGACAAGAATAATTTTGGTGGCCAGATACGATAAAATCGAGCTGCCAGGTAGTAATAATCGTCATGGCTTTAGAGACTTCAGTGGTCGGCTCTCCTCCCTGTTCTCTCTCCAATTTAAAACTTAGAGTTAAGGTACTGCTTTTGATTGTCAGTAACCTTCGTGCGACGGGACAGAGCCCATTCCATCGGAAGAGTAGTGGAAACAGTTGGTAGTGATGTTCTACTCCCTTCCAGAACCGTTGGGCATTTACTCGCGCCTCATTCCAGATTAGTCGCGTATTCTATCATGGCCCTAGCATAGAGCGTTTCATACTCTAGAGACAACTTGTGCTTTCCGCCGTCTAAGTGTTTAACTAGAGATGAATGCCGTATAAACATCCTTCACACATCCCTCTTCTGGGCATGTAAATAATCGACAATTGTCGGTAGCAGCATCAACATCAACGCTTGACTCATCTGATGACTCATCTACACAGTCGGAGTTGCCTACCTCAGTTGCAGGGGTTCGGCCACCTGTTCGTCTGGGTCTTACTGGGACAAAGCTTGTGATAGTCTCGCTGGTCGAGGGTCTGATCTCCATCGTCGGCAGTTCCGATTGTTCAGGGACATCAAAATTTGTCCAGGGAATACTTTTTCCAGGGCCAATGTCGTAGGCTCTCCACGTTTTTATCCCTTCCTAGCCGTAGCAAAGGTTGCTGACATAGCTCACTTTCTCCCACTTGAAACTCTTGGTGGATGGAGCACTGGGAGGACTGCACACCTTCACACTTACGCCGCACTACCCTCTGGAAGACTCCATAGCTTCTTTCATCTGTGCAGCAGTCTCAATGTCGTGTCCAGAATTCAGATATTTCGCCATGTGCAACTTTATAGTGGCTGCCTTGTAAGGCAAGCGCCCTTTCCTCCCTGTGGCTCAGAAAAGTCAATCCGAGAGATCTGAAGGCCATGATGTTTGGCAATCTAAGGAGCTGTAATCAGAGTCTGCGTACAATAATAACATCTAGCGTTGTTGCTTCGAATATTGATGGTCTGCAGTTCTGGCATAATAGTCTTGAGTTGACGAAAGACATCATCAATTTTCATGTCACCGACTGCTTTCTTTGTCGTACTTTTACATTTTTGCTCGATGACGAAAGTTTCAATTTCTTCTTGGTTGTTTCCTTCGTCCTGTCAAGCACCAACTCGTTCGTAATTTAATGCTGTGAATTCACTGTTCTCCTAAAATTGTAGCTTGTCAGAGTGATAGAATTCACTCCCAAAGTGTTCATACATAATTTTCAGCCACTATAATTTTCAGAAAAACAGCAATAGTTTTTTAATTTCCTTTTGCTTTGTTTTTGCAGGTCCTTTACCGGCCCGTGGGCATTACGGGATAATAATGCCGTAGAATTCGCAAATCAGAGCGCGCGTTATATCGGCTAAAAACGCAAGCCATATTATAAAATGAAATCAAACTTTAAATTGGGTTATATCGAAGCAATTTTATATTAGTTGTTGAAATTCGTTTTTAATAAATTTGTTTTTGGAACATTGGCTTTAAATGCCTGTGCCCAGCTTCTTTACACGTCCGTGTAGCATATTGCAATTACAATAACAACACAAGGTTACCTTGAAATCCTAATTGAGAAACCGCTTAGCTACTTTAAGCTTCTCTTTTTTTCCTTTTGCCCAAGATAGACCCAAGCCGCAGTTATCACCAAGTTTTTCAGCGGCTGGCTCAAGTTCTTCGAATGCCTTGGCCCCCTGTGCGCCAACATAGTCCAATCCCTGTAATGATTTCCTCACAGAGGGAGGCCGAGCAGACATGCAGGACTCTGTAAAGAGTACTGCGTCCCACTGGTTTGAAACCCTCTTCATTGCATAGCTCCTCGTATTGCGAAATGATCTGTGCTGGAATGACACTTCGTATGGCATTCGGTATAGTCAGTTCCTCATTAGATGATAATTTCAGTTTTTTCTCGCCAAAAGGAAGGTCCTGGATGATGTGCGTGCTTGTAATGAAGTTCACGAAGTGACTCAGTTGCCCTGGTGCTACATACATCCGAGTGTACTGTTTAATCGGCACCACGGCTCCTCGACTATGAAGAAGCTGGTGGTGTCTGGCAATGTCGAATCTATAGCGTGTCAGATTGGGTATCCATTTCTTCGGCATTTTGAAGTTAATTTTGTCAACCAAAGTAGAAAGGACTTGTTGGCGAGTGCTCCAGTGGCCTGCATTGTTGTAGCATTCAGTGACGGCCTCAATAAGTATCACGTCAGCATGGTCTGTAGTGTCTTGTCGGAACTCACATGCTTTTGATGATAACAAGGCCTCCCATAGACTCTCTGTATTCTCTGGTGCAATTTCCTCGATTACGGCGTGGACGGCTTGGCGCGGTTTCTTGACGTAATAACGTTCAGTCCTTTCTTTGGTCAAATGCCACGTTGTTTTTAGCTTAGACCTGATGGGACTGATGTCTCTGCTCCATAAGGATTCATTTAGCTTGTCTTTGCTGCTATCTGAGGGTATGGTCTCGCTATCAGAATCGTCCAAGCTCTCCGATGGTTTGTACACTTTGTGTTGTGTCTCTGCTGTAAAGTGGTGCATGGGTAGGTGTTGAATATGGCATTTCGTTATCTGAGTCCACCTTATGAAAAAAAGTGTTGATCAGATTATGGACGAAATACTCTTCTGATGCGCTTACGAATATCAGATAATAATAAAAACAACATTTAATGATGACAATGACAAAGTGTCAACGTGCAAACAACAGTTCAAATAAATATACCTGCAAACAAGTACTAGATCACTACAGTTACAATGTATTGTGAGATTATCGTCCATGCCAAGGCAACATGGCCAAGTGTGCGTGAGAGCGACTCCAAATCTGTCAAGGGCGTGCCATATGCTGCTCCTTCCTCCATATCAGTGCTCGTGATACTCGCAACACTGGAAAATGAGCTTTCGAAAACTCTCTTTCTGCAGTCTCTGCAAATGCCTGGTGGAACAAATAGAACAATTGTCACCTTCAAAAAAAATTCGCCCCGAAACGTGAAAACCAACGCTGTGTGTTTGAATAGAAATGTTTTATGTAAGTTAAAATGGAAAACTGTGAAAAGAATGACAGGGTCAGGGGAAAACAATGATCAAATTAATTGACCCATATCAAACAGATGGTTCCTCGATGGACCCAAAAAAAACAAAAACAAAAACAAAAAAAAAACAAATGATCAATTACTGAACTGTTGAGTGGAAGGGAAGGTGGAGTTGTGAGTTAAGGGATTTTTGTAGGATGGGGGCTGGGATACAGTTACCACTGTAATCCTTTAAAAACCTAATTTACAACCTTTTTATAAGCAACAATTCTGATTAAGAACCTCTCCTTTCAAGAGTAAAAAAAAAATAACCTCTACATCAACCCGGGATGCCTGGTCGTATTTAAGTTTCGTTTACAAGAAAGCTGACCCGAATCAGTTTCAAGGCCACCAAAACCAGAAATTTTACAAGCCCTTATCTCCCTAAACTGTGTAGACTTATGAAAAAAGCCGGAAAACAAAGGAGGAAGCATATTTGTACAGAAATGTAAACCCGGGTTGGCACTTCACCTCTTTTTACATGGAAATTGTCAACTTAGCTATAGTCAGGTCAACCCGGCTCTCGAAAAGGGTTACCCAGCAAAAAAGGGTTGACTCGGGTTGAGACCTTTCTTGAATGTAAGTTGACTGAGGAAGGGTCACCAGTTACGGTTATTCATCCGGGGCTAGAAAATGGTTTTCAAACAGTTGTCTCAGCCGTTTCACAACGCGAGTCCATCCAGCTATATTTAAGCCTGGCAAAATTAAAGTCAAGGATTAATCGTTCCGCAGATTTAAAAGCTGAGCAAATACGCCTAAAAAAAAAGGGTTAAACGAAAGAAAAAGCTTGCATACATACTGTAAAGGTGCTGCATAATTATGCACTGTTCTCATAAAAATATCATACAAGTTAGTGATAAAAAACAAGCATTCCATTAGCCGCTGGATTTTCTCAAAAAAATAATAAATAACAAAACTCCGTAATAGCAAAGAGATATATTTTCATCAAGGTTAGGAAATAATAGAGCTGTCTGTCACGGTCGGTCACGCAATGTCTTGTTTGATTTCCGAAAAATTGCAATGTTTAGCGCACTTTCACACAGCACAACCTAATTTCCCCAGAAAAAAATTATATCAGCTAAGAACCCATCTCTTCTGCATTCTAAGTAATAAATTTCATTTGATTTATGATAAGGGTAATTGGGTAAATTATTTTTTTGAAGTTTACTGGTGAGTTCCATGGAAAAACTGAGGGCTTCCTTTCAGGTCTCACTCAATACCTTATTAATTGTTTTTCAAATGTCGTAGGAACTAAAAAACAAAACCTACAAACGTTGCAGATAAGCTGATTGCAGGTTTATAGTTACGGCAAGCCGATAGCTTCAAAATGGCTAATTTTTGAGCCAAATTTTTCAATACCTGGCCCCGAAATCAAGTATTGTCATTTTCTGCTGAAACAAAACACCATTTCACAAATGAACCACATAGCAATAAATAGTTCAATATGGAATAGTAATAGCCAAAGTTTAAGCGATTTTGAAATTTACCGCTCAATTTTTTACTTTTGTGGGCAGACCAATCCGGTCAGTACAAAATGCAGACTGCAGACTGTAGACTGCAGACCGGGTGCAAAATGCAGACTAGGTACAAAATGCAGACTGAAGACTGGGTAGGAAATGCAGACTTAGAATTTATACTCTTTTTTTCGTCTGATACGTATCTTGGCCGCGATTATCAATGTGTAGACTGTATGTTGAAGAGTTCTCGAGGACAAGCACAAAGACGAACGCAAATGCGCGGCTTACCAATATGGCTGCCTCTGATGCTTTTCTGCCTGGTCACAGCCTGTGTTGAAATTAACTCGCTACGGGTCCCCTAGGTGTGAACATTTCGGTTTCTCGATTCAAGTTTCGAAAATGTGACTTGGGGTTATTATTTTTATTAAACCATACAAAAACTTTATTTCTTTCCACGTGAGTTTCTGAACTTCATCGAAATTAAATTTGACTTTCACTAAGTGGGAAGGAGTAGCATGCGAGACTACTTCCGTTCACGGTCCACAATGCAACTTCCGTCTACGGAATACAACTTCCGTCCACAATCGACAACTGCCGTCAACATCTGCTTCACCACAATACCTCATTCATTGCTTTCAGCATGAATGAGCTAAAAAGGAGGATTCAATTTCCCTCTATTCATTACATTTCATACCATCAAAGTTCTTTTTAGGAATAAAGTACTTTTTTAACAACTGTGGTTGTAGTTCTTGTATCCCCAGCTTCAAACTTTTAAGTTTGAAGCTGGGGGAGTTTTAAGTTTTAAGTTTGAAGCTAAGTTTAATTTATATAAGGAGAGATATCAGTTTAAAGTCTTCAATGTCAAATAATAGTGAACGCGCCTTAACAAGTTGTCAGGAGTCTTTTTTGCTTCAGTGAAACCAACCCTCATAAATGGCAATTTGATGTAGGCTGGTGGTGAAATACATGTTCAGAATAATCCATTCCTTTTTTTCAACTCTTTTTCTCTTGATATGAAGACATTTTGACAATAAGTGGTACAGAATGTGCAATTATTTCATCTTTGTTCAGTTTTCCCTTCTATCTTTCTTTCTTTTTTTTGTACCGAGTAACATCTTACCAATGGTCAAATATCGAAAACGGTTGTGGGGAACCTATGTATTACCACTTAGGTATCTGTGCACGTGTTATTAGTAATCTAGCAAGCAAGCAAGCAACGAGTTTATTTCTATCTTTATGAAAGTTTTAGTTTTCCTCCCTTTCACCAGTTTTGATTGTATCTTAATCTCATTCGTGTTTGTAATTTATTCTTGATTACTGAACCGTTGGTTCAGTGTTTTCGTCCAATGTCTTTGTTATGTAATATTCTAGTGTGTTTTTTACGTAGGATATATACATTTAATAAACTGTCTAGTCCTAAAACAAGCCCCTGTCTCTTGTGGCGTTTATGATAAACTCAAAGGTTGCTGACCGCTCGGAGTTTCTTGTCGTGGTTTCCCCTCTTTTTGTCTTCGTGGGGGCTACTATTCCTTACAAGACAGCTTATTTAGAGCAAGATCTCGATCATTTCAACCACGTTCAAGCCAATAAGGTCACATTTAAACAGCGATATCTCTATACAAGTATTTACTGAGGCGCTTACCATAATTCTGACACGGATGGGGCTTTGGGGGTGAAGCTGCACAGTTTTTTTCAGTTTGACTGTAAATATATGAAAATCATATTTGTGAACTGCGGATAAAGACGTGAATATGAAAGCGGTCTTCGCAGTAATGAACACTACTTGAGCGGTAGTGAAAATAAGGCCTAACAAAATACACAAATTCAGGCCTGTACGGGATTTGAACCTATGACTTCGGCGTTACTGGTACAGTGCTCTACCAACTGAGCTAACTAGCCAACTGGGAGTTGATGTTAGTTCCATATAAACCCGTGAAGTGATAAATAAATGACTGTGAATATATGAAAATCATATATGTGAACTGCGGATAAAGACGTGAATATGAAAGTGATCTTCGCAGTAGTGAACACTACTTAAGCAGCAATGAAAATAAGACCTGAAAAAAAATTCAGGCCTGAACCTATGACCTCTGCGATACTGGTGCAGTGCTCTACCAAATGAGCGAACAACCCATGGGAACTGGTTACTGTGTTGGTTCCATATAAACCCGTAAAACATTACTTTGAATGATGAAATGCTGCACAACTTGGTTAGCAACCACTCAGTCTGAGTATATCCTGGCTGTGGTGTGATGGTCATATGGCACTCGGTCTTCAAATCCCATGCAACGAACATGAAGTGTTCCCACTCAGACTTGAGGGTTTTAACTTCCACTTGATCTGTGGTACCAAAGTGGTCTGCAAGTGTGACTTCATGTTTCACCCTGTAGCTCTTAAAATCAGTGGCTTCCTTTGCAGGGAGACGTTTCAAATGAAAGATTAAAAGGGCTTGAACAAGTGGCAGGGAAGGGAATCTTGCTTAGTTTAGTTTTTAACTTCTCATGATGATAAAAACTGTAATAAAACTCTTCAGTATTGGCTACAGAAGAGTTTTTTAAGGGAATCTAGGGACCAGTCTGGGGGGTGGGGAGGGGAGGGAAGAATTGACCAGGTCTGGAACCTGGAACAAAGTTGTTGGTTCTCACAACTTGCAAAACGATCAACACGCAACTCTAGTCTGCGGTATCTTCAAGCAGCTAACAACCTTCGTGTTGTTCCTGATGTTTTAAGCAAATTTTTGAAGATAGGTAATCTTTTCTTCTTCAGATGAAGTTTACGATGTCAGCATCAGTTGAAATTATACTCTATTGAACGTGACTGATAATTTTGGTTTAGGAAAATGAGCCGAAATTGAAAGAAACGACGGTAAACTACTTCGCCGGTCGATTGAAGAATAAACACGTTTGAACAGTGAGTCAGTAAAACAATACGCCATAATTCTATGGGCCTATCTTATATCTTCTCTTGAAGTTGCCAGGTATGACTGCTCGCCCCACAGTTCTTCCCAAACGTTTCA